GGGGTGGGGGGGTGCTGAGGCCCACAGTGAACACCGAAGATGAAAAGGAAAAGTGGGTGAAATAGAGCATTCCAATTTGGTGAAGCACAGTAGTGAAAAAGTGCACGTGACCACCAACACATAGATTTATGATTGGCTTGTTTCATTTCATTTAAAAATGAAAGTGCTTTCAATAATCAGACACCAAAAAGTTAAAAAAATGATACACACCTAAATTATAGTCTCTCAGTAAAAGGAAATGTCATGTGCACATAACAGAAAAAAATAGAAAGGAAGAAATCAGAGACTCCAGTTAATATCTGTAACTTGTGGGGAAGGAGGGAATAGCTTAAATTCATACTCTCGGGTGAATAGGGTCAGGTCTCTAAATGCACAATGGGACCGTTTGTACTGTATTTGCACAAATCAATGTCTGTTTATCCTTCACAATTAGAACAGTCTAAGCCATAGAACAACAGCAATAGTCACAGCTCCTTTTAGGCCTGAGATGCTAAGGAAATGTTGCCTTCTTCCAAGAAATGTTTTGCCCCTCTCTTTTTCAACTAGAAGTATTTCAGAGAAAATTTCTGTTAAACATTAAAACAGAATATGAACATTTGTCTTTCTCATAAAAATGACATTACCACTCAAACAGTAAAGAGGCATGCTTGGAAGGGTAATTTCAAAGATTCTTGAGAAAATATTATGGATGTACTCAATCTTACTCCAGAAAAAATAATCATCATCAAAAAAGCATAACAAATACTGGGGAGGCTATGGGGAAAAAGGAATCCTTCTACACTGTTGATTTTAATGTAAACTAGCATAACCTTGGGTGGAAGATTTAGCTTAGTGGTTCCGTCACCTGCCTCTTAGGAGCAAGATCCCGAGTTCGAACCCCAGTACCGGAAAAAAAGAAATAGCACAACCACTGTGGGAATCAATATGGAAATTCCTCAAAAAATTAAAATTAGGGCTGGAGATTTAGCTCAGTGGCACTGCACCTGCCTCACAAGCACAAGTATCAGAAAAAAAAGAAATAAAAGAAAAACAAGTAATATTAGAAATTCCATTCATCCCAGCTCTTCCCTCTCTAGGCATCTTCCTGAAGGAGTTAAAGACATCGTATTACGGTGACGCACGAGCACCCTTGTTTTAGCAGCACAATTCATACGTGCTAGATCTCAGAAGCAGCCTATCTCTGTTCACCAACAGATAAATGGATTTAAAAGTGTGGCATTTACACAGAACAAAACAGTGTTTACAGGAAAGTGGATGCACCTTGAAACCATATTGTTAGGTGAAATACATCAGGTACATGAGCTTTAATATCTCATGATTTCTCTAAACCAAATTATGAGTACGAAGCAAAATAAGAGACAGGGCCTGGGGATTTAGCTCAGTGGTGCTGCACCTGCCTCACAAACGCAAGGTCCAGAGTTCGATAAAAAAGAAGGCGATCATGGCAAGTATGGAGCTAGATCTTGCTCAAAGGGGGAAGGGGACCAAGCCATGGAGGGAGGGGGCCGAGAGGGAAGCAAAAGTGGGTGAGCAATGGAATTCACCTGTGTTATGTACACGCACCGATTCCACACAGGGAATGGAAACATGATGTACAGCAAATGTGTACTAGTGAGAGAAAGAGTGATCATAAACACGCGCCACAAATGCCTCATGTGTTCTGAGCCGCAGCTTTCGGAAGATGCAAGGACTGTGGAGGCTGTTTTCACCGGTGAATAGGGCCTGGCCAGCGGGGCGGCTGGGGTGTGACCTGGGTGTGTTCTTGTCCTGCCTCTTCCTCCTCAGTTTCCTGGCTGCTGTGGGTTCAGTACCTTTTCCTCTGCCACGCACCTTGTTTCTAGCTTGGAGCCTGCCAACCATGGGATGATGCCGTTAGCCAAATTAAACCTCTCCTTCTCTAAGTGGTACGTGTTGGCTATTTTGTCCCACTCATGAAAATGGCAAACACTATGGAAAAAGAAAATGAATTTGTTTTGTTTTTGTTTTTTTTGTTTTTTTTTTTGTTTTTTGAGACACGGTCTCACTATGTAGTTCAGACTGCTCTGGAACTCACTGTGTAGCCCAGGCTGGTCTCAAACTCTCAGTGATCCTCCTGCCTCAGCCTTCTGAGTGCTGGGATTACAGGTGTGTGCCACCACGCCTGGCTAAGAAAATGAATCTGGTTGCAGATTATGTATATGTGGCAAGAGAAAATTGCATACAAGTTTTAAAGACATTTGCATGGCCCATTTTTTATAAGCAAGGATAAACATAGCCATGTATGTCTATGACAGTAATACATCTTTGGTGAGCAAGTGGAATGCCTCTGTAGAAAACTCCTTTCAGGAGCCGGGGATTTAGCTCCCTGGTTTGGTGGCCTGCCTTGCAAGCGCAAGGACCGGAGTTCAATCCCCGGTACTAAAAAAACAACAAAAAAAGAAAACTCCTTTCATAAACCAGGTGTGGTGGTGCATACCTGTGATCCCAGCACTTGGGAGGCTGAGGCAGGAGGATCACTGTGAGTTTGAGACCCGCCTGGGCTACATAGTGAGTTCTAGGTTGGTCTCAACTACACAGTGAGACCCTGGCTCAAAAAGCAAAACAAAACAAAAAAAAAGAAAACTCCTTTCACGAAAAATCTGCATTTCAAGCAGACCCTAGAGGGAGAGCATGGAGCAGCTCTGTTTGTGTATGCACACTCACCTACCCCCCACACAACATGTGCATGCACAGACAAATACACTCAATGTATATATTTCGGAGAATTAAAAAAATGTAAAAGTAATAATTTAACTATTAACCTTAGAAAATATTGCAAGCATGTTGTGTTTACTTGTTTGCTTTGGATACAGGGTCTGGCTGCATAGTTTAGGCTGGCCTGGAACTCGCTATGTAGCCCTGGCTGGTCTTGAACTTGAAGTGATCCTCCTGCCTCAGCCTCCTGAGTGCTAGAGTTACAGGCCTATGGCACCACACCTGGCTCTGGCAAATATATTAAAAACAAGACCGGCTGGGGATTTGGCTTAGTGGTTCCGCCGCCTACTTTGCAAACATAAGGTCCCAAGTTCTATCTATCCCCAGCACCAAAAAAAAAAAAAAAAAAACCAAAAACCAAAAAACAAAAAACAAAGTAGTAATTTTAAAGGCATGTGAAGTTCCTAGTAGATAGTTCTTTAACCACAGATTTTTTTTAACTGTGGTTCTTTGGTTTATTTATCTGTAATATGATGTCAAAATTGGTTATACCCATTCTGGATAGACTCAGGGTTCAGCTGAGTGCTATGCGACACAGTACATGTCCATCTCCTTACATCCATCTGCTCACACGGAGAATCCAAACACCCTAGCAACCTCCTAATTACGGCAGCTCCTCCTTACTTTTGTCAAAACATATTATGGAGATCTGTGAAAGTATATTCTATTTCTTGAAAAACAGACAAACAAACTGGAAGCCGTGGCAGTTTGATAGAAACAGTCCTTAGTAAAACCTGGAGTGTTTTATCTAGCCAGAACTTAGACTACAGCAAGTTTTCAGAGTGATAATTGAGTTACTATGTCATAATGGAACATTTTAAAATGGAATTAGATAGACTGAGGAAGTAGACTCTATATAGAAATTTTTATCATTGATACAAATGTCATCTGTGTTTTAGAAGAAACTTCAAAGGTAGTTCAATGAATACGCCAAATTTACTAGGTCTGTATTTTGGCTTAATACAAATGTTCTTAAATTTCAATGTAATTCCCATAGAACAATAGCATCCTATCTCTGAGCTGTCTATTACTTCTTTTATGGGTGCCAACAAACCAATACATGATCTAGAATATAACCTTTCTTATGCCTTTACAAAGTGCAAGTGTGAAATGTTGGTTTTGATGTAAACCTCATAATTTAAAACTTAACATTCAAGGTCAGGCATGGTGCTGCATGCCTGTAATTCCAGCACTCGGAAGGCTGAGGCAGGAGGATTGCTGTGAGTTTGAGACCAGCCTGGGCTACATAGTGAGTTCCAGGGCAGTCTCAACTACATAGTGAGACTCTGTTTCAAAAAACCAAACCAAAACCAAAACAAAAACAACTTAACATTCAAATTAAGTAGGTTACCATTTTCAATATCACCTAATATAATATATTGATACACTATAAAAAATTAAATTGTTAGAAATGAAGATTCACAGTTCACCTTTTCAGGCTTGTATTAAGTGTTTCACATTTATGCCTTCAGCTTTACAGAATTCAAATCTAAACAACCCCGCTGCAGCACTATATTAATTAGGCAGCTTTCCCAAGATGGAGAATACCACACCAATCTAGTTGTGATGTTTTGTGGGTTCATAACTTAAATCCATTATAACACTATGGAATCCACAGCTCAGGGTGGTGGAGAAAGGCTTCAAAAATCGTTTTTTGATGTTGCAATAATACTACTTATGTAAAGAATAAAAATTCCCAATTTATCAAGTTTCTCTGAATACTACTAGCTGTTAAAAGTAAAATTTTCATACCTAAGTTTCATAATCATATTCGGATGTTAACATTTCCTTTTGAGTAGGAAACAGTAAGTCGTTACTGTAAGTAAATACATTTAGATGGCAAGAGCATATGGAACATAGGCAGTAACTGAATTTACATGTTTCATGCATGTACTTACTTTCTAGTATTCCATTTGCAATAGCAGTGTGGAGATGTACTAGCAATTTCAGAAACTGAAAAGAGATCCTCTGCGTTGTATTACTTTTTCTTTATGTGCAACATTCAAGTTCATGATGCTTCTGCCTATAAGCTAACAGTCTCAGATTAGTTCACATACAGATCAAACATTTGGTCCCATTATAACTTTAAATGAGCTAGAGCTTGGGCTACATTTAGCAAAATATGGAGTTAAAAAAAACATTGCTTCATCACTACTTTAAACATTCGGGTTATTAAAAATGATGTTTTCTAAACTGCTAATTTGATGAAATGTTTAACATATATATCGGAGATTGGAAACTCCTTAGGGTGTTTTTTTGTTTTGTTTGTTTCATTAATTTTTTCTGAGACAGTGGTCTCCCTATGTAGCTGAACTGGAACTCACTATGTAGCCCAGGCTGGCCTGAAACCCTCCTGCCTCAGTCTCCCAAGTGCTAAGGAGGTGCGCACCACCACACTTGGGCCTTAGGATGTTGTACTTCATATGTAGCAAATGCCTTCACATATTAGCTTACTAGATTGGTGATATCAGTTTTTCTCTTTTGCTATTCCAAGTCCAGTTGGTTTATTTTGAAGATAATATTTCAAGACTTCAATTGTAGAAGAATATTATATAATTTTCCCTATACAGAGAGTGACGACCAAATCTGCCAATTAAGAACCATTTCAGGAACTGTTGGAAGGTAAGTTATTCTACAGTAACTGTGCTTCAGCTGCTGTATAGTGCACCCAGAAACAAATCCACTTCAACTTTTGGTTTGGGACTCTTACTTGATGAATATTCAGTTAACATTTGGATACAAGCTCTTGCCAGAAAGTCAGATCTCTGCCATTTATCTTGGAATGTTTCTGAAGACATTCTGCTCCTTCTGCTAACTCTACACAGCTCTGTGCTTGTATCTACAATACATTGATAGACAAGGCCAATACAGAAGACTTTGTTTTAGAAAATGTGATCCTGGGCTGGGGATTTAGCGCAACTGAAGACATTAATGAGGGCTGAGGGTTTATCTCAGTGGTTCTGCCGCCTGCCTCACATGCATAAGGACCCAAGTTCGATTCCCTGGTACAAAAACAAAACAAATAAATAAATAAAAATATATATGGTTCTATAGTGGCACACCTTAAACTGAGCTTCTAGTCTTTCAAAATTTAGGCTGTTGGGCCCAGGATTTAGCTCAGTGGTGCCACCTGCCTTGCAAGAGCAAGGTTATAACAAAAGAAGAAGAAAAAACAAAACAAAACAAAAAAAGAAATTAGGCTATTTTTCCTTTCAAATGGCAAGCTGTTCTCAATGAGTGAATAAACCGGGTGTGGTGGCGCACACCTGTAATCCTAGCACTCTGCAGGCTGAGGCAGGAGGATCACTTTCAGTTCGAGACCAGCCTGGGCTACATAGTGAGTTCCAGGTCAGTCTCAACTACATAATGAGACCCTGTCTCAAAAAACAAAACAAAACAACAGAATGAATGAGTGAATAATAAGAGTTGTAGAAATAGAAAGGCAGTGGTAGCTTTGACTTTCCAACACGCCTTCTCCAATACAGTCTTTTCCATTTGCATCAGTCTGAAACCGTACAAAAGCAACTCAGTCCAATACACCCAAGGTGCTTGGGTTGTGCCTTCATTTTAGACAGGAATCTGTCCAGTAAATTCACCGCTAGAGAAAATGTCTCCGTACCAAAGCCAGAGAACTGAGCTAGACTCAAATCCTTCACTTTAAAGTCCCTCAGTCGTGCAGTCATCCTAAGGCCATAACATGCGCAGATTCAGTCTCCAGGCTTAGACCCTTGGCTGACATCTAGCCTCCTGTGCCCACAGGGTATTCAGCTGGTGTAGCTGGTTTCTGGGAGTCAGCTGTTGTCAGCTCTTCTATCATCTTGGTAGAGACTGCGGCTCCTCGGCGTGGTCTTCCTCCCCGGGCCCCGAGTGTCCTGGGTCCTGGGTCCTGGGTGCAGGTCTCCACAGCGCAGCCGAGACTACACCGCCCTCCTCCCAGTAGGACAGCAGCGAAGGGTGTAACCACACATTTAACGCGAAATTATTTTCAGAGATTCTGTTGTGTATAAAAGCAAAAGCGTTTAGGGCACATTTATAAATCCAGATCCAAAGGGGACAAAAGATGAACAAAGTTGGATCTTTTAAAATCTTTATTGTAGAGGGTACGTTGCTGAGGGTAGATGTAAACTTACGTTTAAAAGAAAAAACTCGAACACAAAAACGAAACAAAGAGGAAATAAAAACGAAACAAAGAGGAAATGCCGTTCTTCAGCGACCACAGAAACCAAAACCTAGGTCAAAAGTGAAACCGACAGTTATGTCTAGCCCAGCACTGTGGACGGATAAGTTTTGCCTGCTGCCGGCCACTGTTTTCCAGCCCGTTCGTCACCTTCCGGAGCGCCGCTGAGTTACGGCGTTGATTGATGACGTATTTCCGGTCCGTCGCTCAGCCTGAGAAAGCGCGTAGTTAATTCCGGTCTCCGTGCCATTTGGAGGATCCAGAGAATGGAATGGAGCCTTTTACAGTAATAATATTGGCTGTTATGCTGGCTAGGAGAAAATGGGTAATAACTGTTGTTTTCTTTATCCTCTCAGGACAGTCCGCAAATAGGATTTCTTTTTTCCGGGTACCGGGGATTGTACACAGGATTTTCGTGCTGAGCTACAGCCCCTCTTTTATTTTGAGACGGGTTTACTAAATCGCTCAGACTGGGCTCGAACTTGAGATCCTCCTATCTCAGACTCACACTGCGGGGGATATAGGCATGCCTGGCTTTAGGACTACGACTTTTAACGAAAACAACATAAAACTAATTTACAGCCAGGCGTGGTGGTACACGTCTGCAGTCCCAGCACTCGGGAGGCTGAGGCAGAGGGATCACAGCGAGTTTGAGGCCAGCTTGAACTACATAGGGAGACCCTTTCTCAAGACAACAAAACTAATTTCCTAGGTGTCTGTCAACTCATTTAAATTGGCAGTCACAAACAGCACAATGGCGTCCTTTGCTAAAACTAGGTTTCACAAGAAAATACACTGATAATTAATGAAATCTGGGAACTGTTACAGTTTGTCCTCGCTGTAGCAACCTCAGAGTTCTCTTCCTAACCCGTTTGTCAGGTTTCTGCAAATATATATTTCAGTTCTTTTGGCATATCCTTATTTCCTACTTGTCATAGTATATGCACATCCTCTGATACGGTGATATTTAGCCATGACTATGGGACATAGTTGCTTATACTCCTAAGCAAGAAAAAAAAAAAAAAGACAGGATCCGAAAAGAACGGACATTTCCTTTATGGGTATATAAGCCAGGTATTTTATCAAAGTTTTCAAGCAGAGGAAAGCTATTCTCTGTACACAATAGAAGCCACTTCTGTTAAAAAAAAAATCAAAACCAACTCACAGTACTTTTTATATCCAGATTGTCATTTTCAACTGCATCTGCTTGGAATGATACACTCATTACAAGTTTCAACATCTTGTTCTTTACTAATATTTACACGGAAAACAGTAAAAGTGTGAATTCAGCTGTCCTAATTCAGCAGCTGCATAGTTACATCTTTTTGGTATTCAGTGACATCATCCCTGCAGTTAACAAGAAATAACTTCTTTTTCTTTCCTTTTTTTGGTACTTGGGATTGAACTCAGGACTTTTTCCTTGCTAGGTAGGCTTTGGAGCCACTGAAATAAATCCCAAGTCTGAAGAACTTCTTTTACAATTGCCACGAAGTTCTCTGTTTTTCAGTCTATGACTTGAAATGAGAACTGGCAATCTTTAGTTTGCCAATTTATCTTCATAAGCATCTGAGGACATTCTGTAGACTCTAGCCCACCCCGCAGGAGTTATGGGCACCATGACTACTGTAACAGTCAAGTGCTACAGTCTCTTGGGCTCCAAAGATGCGTGCTTCAGTTGGCAGGTGACTGACGGTGACGTGACTGCATGTAATAGGCTGCAACTGTCTTATTTCCCACTGATGTATGGGCTCAGGAACATGCTGCAGCATAAAGGAATGACCCGTTCAACCTCTGACTCATCTCCGTCAGCATATCTCTTGGACCCATACTAGTATCATTTCTTTCAGTGAAGGTCCACTCAAGAGGTACACATGACAGCAGAATTTGAACAGAAGATGTTTGATGTGAACATTTACAAATTATAAGTGGATTGCAGTCCAGATGTTAAAAGGTACAGAGTAGTAGCCTAACGTGTTGCAAAACAAGTCACTGTGCTGCCCTGGGGAACTTGCCAGAAATATTTCCTCTTAGGTGCCATGGAAGTGTTCACATGTAAGCATCTCATTGTTGGTACACAACTTTGCAGTAGTAGGGAGGTGTCATAGCAAGTTGCTAACTACAGGTGTTGCTACCATACATTTCAGGAATTTTTATGAACACATTTACCATACCCAATTGAAATGTCTCTTCCCTTCACACATTCAACACACTTACCTATCAGAAGAAATTACTTATGTGACAGTGAACTAATAAAAACAGACTGGATTCTCTGCTATGAAAGCCTTGCATTTCTGGTCAGAAAGGCTTCTGATTTCCTGGTTTTTTTGTTTGTTTGTTTTTTTCCACTAATGCCACAAGATTCATACATGTAAGGATTTTGCATTACAGTATCGACAATCCAAGTAGGTAACTACTAGTGGAAAAGGGAATATAGAAATCGTTTTGTAAGAAAATAGTCACGTGCTCCTCTCTGATTTATCTCTTGGTAAAGTGTCATCCCGAAACTTCTAAAATACTTACATTGCACCAGGGATTTAGCTCAGTGGCACTGCACCTGCCTTGCAAGTGCAAGGTCCCTAGTTCAATCCCCATTACCCAAACAGACAAACAAAAAACAACTTCCATTAATAATATGTGCATATAAATGTAACAGAGAAGATCGAGCATCACTTATTTCACAATGTTCCTTTTATCTCTCATCAATAAATCTCATTTTCATTGCAGACTTAGTTTATGCAATTTTTATTTCCTTATTCACCTAGATAAAATAGGAATTATTACAAGACATTGTAGTACTAGAAATTTAGCATCCTAAAGCAACAAGAATGTTTTATTTTAGTTTCTATGGCTCAG